ATACGATAAATTAATCATTTACCGTACGAAGCCAAGTTGGGATGTGATCACAGCTAGGATGTTACAACTTGTGACTAGTATATTTGAGTTGTGTAACGTCGTGGTTATTAAGTTGTCCTCTTTTTGAGACACGTAAATTTCCAAGTAATGACAATAATAAAGTGGGGAAGTATAAAGCTTTACTAATTTGAGTTGTAGAGAAGTAACAAATAAACAAAATAGTACTAATAGAAAATTCTGTAGAAATAAACTAATAAAACACAATACTCTTTTAGCGTAGTATCTTCTCAACATGCAATGGAATCTTACTTAACAGACAAACATTCACACTGTTGGGGTGTTTGTTTATGCAAAGTTTTTTATCCACAAACTTTCTTTAAAAAGCAAAAAAGTTGCAGATCAGCAAAAAAAAAAAAAATACTAGAATATTCCTAACCTTTTGGTTAATTATTTTGTTATATTATAAATTCAATATAAAGATTACCAAAGACCATTATTATTTAAGGATGTTCAATATATATTATTTATCTCTAAAACCTAATATTTTAACTATATATAATGTAATTTTTCGATTGACTATCCTAAGTAAATGTAGCTTTGGCCCATGGTTACACCAACTTGCTATAGAGCACATATGTTTTAAGTATTATATGTAATTGTTTACTAAGAGCATAGGTAGGAGTTTCGCAAGTTCAATTGAATCTATTTCTTTCAGTTTAAAATACAAACATTATATATATAATATTTAAAATATGCTGACTTAAAGATTCTTTATATTTCGTCTCTAAATAAGCGTACCCACTTATAATAGCTGATTTTAAAGATATTTTAAAGAATTTTGTTCAAAAACCTTCATACTCCTGTCACATTCTTTGTTTTGGTATCTAATCCGATATTTGGTACCCGCATTAAAAAATTAACTCAGTTGTTAATTATTTGCGTAATATTTCTTGATAAAAGAGCCTCTTATAGCATGATACACGCTTATAAAGAAAGAACTCTTCTTTTATTTTTTTCACGAAACAACATCAAAATAGCCCCAGAATGAATGAATTTTCATTATTTCGTTAGGTGATTAATGGTCTACAATTTATCTTTTTGTGAAAATAATATTCAAATATGAACACAAATAGCTGCTAAATTTTTTAAAACGTGCACTTATTACAGGTGGACAAAAATTATTGTCGTATGTGGGATTGTGGTGCTGTAGTGTTGTCGGTGTTAAAAAGGAGACAAATGTCCACTGCCAAAGAAGAGTAGAGACTGAGTCCTCCTAGTCATACTCATAGCATGTGAATGAAAATAAAACAAAACAGAAATTAAAGAGTCTTAACTCTTAATTAAGACTCGGTCACAAGGAGCTGCAATTGATAAAGAAGTTATATATATCTTGGTTTAACCAATTTTCCTTGATTTTAATAAAAATACAAAAATAATTAATTATACGTAAAATATCAAATATACTAATATATTATTAGAAAAGGATTAAATATATTCCTCGTTATCTTTGAGTCTATATAAATCCCCATTGTTATACTATTGGTTCAAATATACTCATTTTTCGTTAAGTTTGACTAAAGTGAACATCTAATCCTACGTGACACTGACATTTGATGAGGTGGATGCCACATGGCTTGCCACCTCAGCGCCCCTAACCTATTTTACCCCTCCCTTCTATTTTTTTTCACCATTAAAATTTTCTTCCCCTCCACCACTATTGCCAGCATTAACGCTACCATAAAAAATATTGTATTTTAAATTTTAGTCTTTTATATATGGATAGGGGCACTGAGGTGGCATGCCATGTGGCATCGACCTCATCGAATATTAGTGTCAGGTAGGATTGGATTGCCCCATTGGACAAACTTAACAAAAAAAAATATATTTGAACCAATAGTATTACGATAGGGGTATATTTAGACTCAAAGTACAACGAAGGGTATTTAAATATTTTCTCATAGTAGAGGGATATATTTTGCCATTTGCCGTTAATTAAATACTCACTCTCTTCCATGTTATTAATACATTTTGACTGGACACAAAGTTATAAATAAAAAAAATTCTAAACTTATGATCTAAAACAAGTAATAAATATTTGTGTAACTATAGGTCATCTCATTAAGGATAAAATAGAAAGTTTAAAGTTAAATTATTTTTAAATATAAAAATATATCATTCTTTTATATTTTTTGGACAGATTAAAAAAAAGTGCTTCATACTGTATACGTTGCAATAGAAGGGGTAAGTGTTTGTGGCACTGTGACCAGCACAAAGTTTAAGAAGAAAATAAAAAAGATTTTTGGAACTTGTGGTGTTCAACGTGCCATATTGGCTAGGGAAAAGGCTCAAAATTGCCCTCGTGTTCTTCAAAATGGCTTATCTGTACCCTCCGTTTGAAAATGAGGTCATGTGTAACCTTGCCGTTAAACGCCATTGGCACCCTTTTCTACTAACGACTTCGTTTTGGGCTATTGTTTCCTCGAAAAATCTTCAGCACGACACGTGTCTTCCTAAACCACCCTCCTTAATTTTCTTTACCTGCCTCCTCGCTTATTTTACCCACCTTCCCCGACATGTGTCGTATTGTGGATTTTTCGAGAAAAAAAGGCCCAAAACGGAGCTGTTAGTACAAAAGGGTGCTAGTGGTGTTTAACGACAAGGTTACACATGACCTCATTTTCAAACGGAGGGTACAGATAAGCCATTTTGAAGAACACAGGGGCAATTTTGAGCATTTTTCCTAGCCAATATTGTAAGTTGAAGACCACAAGTTCCAAAAATCTTTTTTATTTTCTTCTTAAACTTTGTGCTGGTCACACAGTGCCACAAACACTTACCCCCTGTATTGCAATTTATACAGTATGAAGCACTTTTTTTAATCTGTCCCAAAAATAATGATATATTTTTATAGTTAAAAATAATTTGACTTTAAACTTTCTATTTTATCCTTAATGAGATGACCTATAGTTACACAAATATTTATTACTTGTTTTAGATTATAACTTTAGAATTTTATTTATTTATAACTTCGTGTCTAGTCAAAATGTATCAGTAAGATGGAAGAGATGGAGTAATTAATTAACGGCAAAGGGCAAAATATATTCCTCTAGTATGAGAAAATGTTTAAATACCTTTCGTTATACTTTGGGTCTAAATATACCCCTGCCGTAATAATATTGGTTCAAATATACCCTTCTTCTGTTAAATTTCTCCAAGTGGGCAATCTAATCGTGGCGATAATATTTGATGTGGTCGATGTCACATTGCATGCCATATCAGCACCCCTAATTCATATATAAAAGACTAAAATTTAAAATATAATATTTTTCATGATAACGATAACGAGCACTAAACATGGGTGGGAAACTAAAAACAAATAAATTGTCGTGTAGCAATAATTCATACTACTACTAAGTACTCTCAATTGGCTTTAATGTAGAAGACCGGGTCAACTCTTAAAATAGAAGTCTCTTTCTTTTTCTTAACAAGAAAAAAGGAGTAGTATAGTGAGGTCATCTTATCATCATCTTCTAATTATGTTTCTTTTTTCTTTCCCACTTTAAGCTTGTGTTATTAAGCACCACAATAGAAAACAGAAACAGTTTATGCTTGCTCTATGTTAAAGAATTCCAAAATGAAGAGGTAATTCTAGTTTTATGAGCTAATTTTTGGGATTAAGTTAAGTCTTTATTCCATCTTTTCAACATGGTACCAAAGCTACTCTTTTCTATTATTAAATAACCTCTTGAATTTTTAACGGCGAATGAAGTTTTAAGATAGGAAATCAAACCCTCACTAATAAAGTAAAAGTTAAAGTAATCAATCAATGGAACTAGTAAGATCCCCCAACTTGTATTGGATTGGTTACAAGGAAGAAGGCTTTTTTGTTAAAAGTATACAAGTAGTTATTAAGGAAAAGGTATTGGGCCATAATTTTTTGGTCTCAAATATAGTTGTAGAAATGACACCAGGTAGCCACTTTAAATGGCTGCTATTTAGGAATTAACCATTACGTCATAAATTTCAGTTTTTCAGGACAAAAATATCATGAGTTGTCCTGAAGTTAAATTTTTTAGTTTAAAATTTCATGACAAAATAAGTATTGGCTAGTCTCTAAACAGCATACCTGAGAATGACTATTTGTGCACTTGCCCCCATTTGGTTCCTAGTACCTTGTCTGTTGGATTGGACAGTGAACACCCATTACAAAAAGAAATTTAGCACATGGCTCTTAAAGTTAATTAATGTTTGGGATCTTTATACAAATAGCCGGCCAGAGTGACTGTCGAAGCTCCAGTAGGTAGACACTCCCTTCTCAGAGAACCGTACATGAGACTTCCGCCTCATACGGCTCCGTCCCAAGCTTCCGTCGTCGGCCTTGGTATTAAACCATTTATCTATGCATGTATTTTCAGCCTGGACTGACAAATCTTTTGCTTCTCGGGTGTTGTTTTACTTTTTTAGTCTATATACATAAATTATTCACTAGTTATATATAATTTTCCCATATTATATATGGATGAATTATACATTTATTATATATATGTAGGATACTTTTAATCTAAGGGGTTGGGTGGATACCTATATATGCTACAATATAAACTTATGTACCCCTCTTAGAGGATTATCCTTAATTGTATTTTTATATAGATAATTATCAATTGTACACCAAGTAATGTATTAGACTCTAATCTTCTAAAATGATGCAAAATCTCGTTCTAAAATGATATATATTGATGTTTTATTTTTTTGGTTTCGGAAAATTAGTAATACTCAAATGTTTAATTAGTAGGCATTTGGAATGGGATAGAGCAACTACCGAGCAGCAAATATCAGCATCAATTAACAAACTGATCATAAATTCTAGTGAAGTGAACGCCAAGATATGAATTCTCCACCACCTCTTATCTTCTCAAATGATTTTTTTAACGTTCTTTTTAGGTACTCTTTAAAATAATTATACGACCAATTAATTACTTATAAGTTATAACAAACATGGTCCCTCCTTCTAAGTTCTTCTTTTCATATATAAATTAAATCCAACCATCAAATGACAAGACCAGATTTCCTCATCAACTTGATATTAATTGCAGTTGGATTTAGTCATAGTTTCTATATTTACTCTACAATAGTGAAGAGAAGCTAAGTATTTGGATTTTTGACGAGAAAAAATGGAAAGAGAAGGAGAACTGGTGGTGCGGGGACGTGTAGAGATTGACACGAGACAGCCTTTTCGATCTGTGAAGGAGGCGATCATGTTATTTGGAGAAAAGTTTTTGGCTGAAGAAATTTATGCAAAACAGCTTAAAGAGGTTCGTTCTTCTCTTTTTTAGCAGCTGCTTCTTCTGTACCTAAGATTTTTTCATAAGTCGTGTCAACATTTAAAAAGGTGAACAAATGAATAAATCACGATAATATTATCTATATATATATATATATATCTAGTACTAAATTTTTTTGATGAAGCGGAGTCTCGTGACACCTCTTAGAGCAATGCATACCCACTACTGATCACATGCAGTTCATCATATCATAGATTTTTGTGTTGTCGATGCATGTCCCAGTATTTTCTCGACATTTAAATATGGATTTAAGTTATATATACTTACAATATAAATATTATTTAATATAATTAATGTAGTTTAACATATTATAGTAGGTTCGTTTATCAGGTTATCAATTAATATTTGTCAAAAAATTTCCTTTAATTTTATCTTTTAAGTGACCTAGTCTGTATAAATATTTTTCAAATAGATGTCCGTGGAGTTTAAACTCTTAAACATAGCATATAGAAAACAGTTGCTTTTGTTATTTTTTTTTCATTTTTTTTTTAGTGCAAACCTACTGAAAAGACATACTCCAATTATAGGATGCCAATTAAAATTGCGAGGTTTTGCATGAATTTAATAGCTTGTTTTACCAAGCTTCTCCCAAGCCAAAAAATATTTTTTTTAAAAGTGATTTTTCTTCAAAATTGAAGTGTTTGACCAAGCTTTTAAAAGAAAAAAAAAGTAATTTTGAGTAAAATACACCGTAGAAGCACTTTTTAAAAGTTTGTCCAAATACTAATTGCTGCTCAGAAGAGCTTTTGAAATTAATTAGTCAAACACTAACTGCTTTTCACCAAAAGTACTTTAGAGGAAAGCAGTTCTAAAAATAAACTGATTTAGAAGCTTGGCGAAAGAGGCTATAAATCACATATAATATTGTGTTTGGCTAGCTGCATCTGACAAAGAAGTTATATGAAGAATATTAGTAACAACATGATCTTAGTATCGAAATTAAAAAATGGTCAATTGGCTGGGCTTACAATGTGATCACCTTAGCTGTTTTGTCAGGTGCAGACCAAGGCAAGTGGTGGACAAAACCAGCCAAGAATTGAATTACCAGTGACAATTGAGCTTGAAGAGACAAAGCAAAACCTCCAAAAATCAAAAGAAGAAGGAACATTTATGGCACATTGTCTTCAATCTCTAAAAGAAGAGCTAGAACTGACAAAAAGAGAGATACATCAATTGAAGACAAGAGAACTGAAGCAGAAAGTAGCGTTAGGCGCGGATCCTGAGATTGAAGATCTCAAATTCATTGAGAACTCGTCGTCATCCAAAGTTGAATTAAGAACACAATTTCAAGAGTATGATGATGAGATTGAATTTCAGAAAAAAAAGTCTGTTAAGTTTGCTAGTACCCCTTTACTCACTAGGATCATTAATGTGGAGAGTACTAGCCCTTCACAACTTAAGAAAAAGTTGAAGAAAAAACCTTTAATTCCTTTGTTTGGTGGATTGTTTTCCAAGAAGAAAGGGAAAGGAAATCAAGTAAACCAATATTCATGAAATCCCATTTTAAAATTGAAATTTTGTGGCCCTTTTGAATTAAGAGAATGGTAGAGGTCTCAAAAAGATTTTACCATTGGATTTGGCTGTTAAATCAAATAAGTTGTCTTCTTATTAGCAACTCTTTATTGCTGTATTTCTATTATCACTTTTAGCACGGCCCAAAAACTGTAGCAAAAAAAGTATAAAATTTGTATAATTTTCGTATACAATGTCATTTCCCTATTTCTTTAATCTAGAAAGAGAATGCCTGTAATTAGTTCAATATTCTTAGATATGCAAAATATAGTACACACGGACGATGTGTGTGTGTATATATATATATATTGATTGAGATTATCAGCATTGTTGTTCATTATTGAAAAATCTACTATTACTAATGCAGAATAGCTTATTTCTTACAGTTTCACTTGGTTTCTATATGGCAAAAATTCTTTTTTTTTCCCTTCCTTTTTCCTTCTGGTAATGGCACAAACTCAGTGAAACGTCTCCTTTTCCGTGGCTTATTTAGATAATAAATCCTTAGATGAAACATGATAATAGAATACAAACTATGTAGAGATTAATGAGAAAGATGGCGCCAGTGAGACATAATTAGCCTTCTTACTTGAAACCTAAGAAGGCTAAGCAAATCATACTACAAAATCTTTCAGAAAACGATGACATTTGCTTTCACCAGGAAAACAGACACTTCAATTTTATATATCAGATGATGCTAGCAGCCCAGAATAAGCTGCGAAACCAGGCTACCCCAAACAAGTCTCAAGTTAATACAGATTGCAATATAAATCTTTTAAGTGTATTTGGAAGAAACGGTTAATGAGAAAATAGATAACATACTGATAGTATTCTCTCATGTACTCAGTCTCCTGAAGTAAAACCGGAGAGACGATCAATTTACACCATATTGATTAATCTACCTCATTTGGTTGCCCACCAAGACTACACACAACATGATAAAAAAGATAGAGGAGGATACCAACGTATCTTGTGAAGCTACAACAAGCTCAAGCCGGTTATAACTGAAGTGCTATGCAACGCTAACAGGTTGAGCTGGCACGTCTCTCTCAGTCTTGCACCTGCACAGGCAAAAGTATATAGATGTCACGACATAAATATAATATATTGAAAATCAGATGGTTGGAGATCAAGATTGGGAACAAAATCAATATTTCCCTTCAAGTTTTCTAAGCTCCATTTGCCTCTCTGCCTATATAGCTCAACTGATGTAGTTAAGTCAACAACCCTCAACTGCTTCCCTCCCTCTACTCCGACAGCGGTGACCCTTTTCGAGCATTAACTTTAATGTGATTGAAAAACCTTATATTTATTCAGAAAAAAGAAAATGTGATTGAAAAGACCATCATCACAATGAGACTACAAGGCAGTATGAAATGCCAAATGCAGTTTTTCTTTAAATGCTTATGTCCCTTGATTAAAAAGACACTACAACTAGAATCCTTTCATTTATGTGCCGGAATAGAGAGAAATTTGGCAGGAAAGTGGAAGAGACCTTTTGGAGTGAACATATTCAAAGGTGCTCTGCTGAGGGTTTACCAACATTTGCTCACTACTGGTTCACAAAATTCTGAATAAAATAGCCCCCCAGTGATAAGAGCGCAACACATGATGTGTGCATAGGCACATATCACAGATTCGACCTTGCGGCAGACAAAAGTCGGCTATTTAAGAGAAAACGGGTAGAGGGGCGGGCCCATTATCCACCGAGTTTCAAACCGTGTGCCAGTGGTCCTCGGAGATTTCTACTTTACAAAAAGAATCTGAATAAAGTACCAGGAGCATACCTATTACAATTTGATCGAGATGCATAATTATGATTATTGCAATTTGTGCACATCCAGTCCCCATCACGCCATTGCTTTGCCCTGATAAACACATGCATGATGCAACAGCACAACTTCTTAAAAATGTTGTAAAGAATGATTGCTAGCACTGCACTTAGATGCTATGTTGTGCGGACTCTTTATTTTAGCCGCTGCACCCGTGTCAACACGATACTACTACTGGTAAGGGTGTGGGATTCGTATCGGGTGTGGTCATTTGAGATCGGGTACTTTGACCACAATCTATGGACATATTTGAGGAAAAATTGAATTTTAGCCGCTGCTTGCTAGTATCTAGTGCCTACAACTTGAGAAATTCCCAAAATGAAAGATTGAATTATTGGCTGCACTCCACAACCGATAACGTTTTCACAGAATATTTCTCATAATTTAGGATATTTTTATAGATCTATTTTTAGAATTTTGAATTATTTTTTAGCCGAATCTCCGCACCCGTATCCGTACCTAAATCCATACTCCCAAATCTTAAAATTTAGATTATGAAGGATGACTTCTAGATCCGCACCCGGATCGGATACCCGCACCTGAGTCCGAGCAACATAGCTTAGATGTAGACCACGACTTATTTCATCCCAGAGCTCTTCATATTGTGTTATCAGTTTGTAGTTGGTTTGGCGGTTCAAGTGTGACAATACAGATTCAGATACATGTTTGATGACATAGTGTAAACAAAAGTTTGATGTATTTTTAATGGGTAACTGCCACGACTGTATATCCTCATCTTTTCCAGTCACCTTTATTTTTAATGGGTAATTGCCACGACTGTCTATACAGTAGTGATATTAAGGTCAGCTATACAAAAGGTGCTTAGTGACAGTAATGCACCGGCGAAAATGTACAACAAAGGTTTTTAATATTATAGTTCCTTAATCCTCGAAGTCCTGATGTCACTTCCTGAACATTGAAAGAGAGGGATATTATCTTATGAATGTTACACTACTATTTCCAAAGTAAATAATCCTAGGTGATAGTCATTTTACAGGATAAATGGGCAGCATCCCTGTTGCCTCCACTAGTCAGTCCNTTTTTTTTGGGGGGGGGGGGGGGAGATAAAGGAGAGGGATATTATCTTATGAATGTTACATTACTATTTTCCAAAGTAAATAATCCTAGGTGATAGTCTTTTTACAGAATAAATGGGCAGCATCTTCTGTTGCCTCCACTAGTCAGTCTAATAACCCAGAAGCAAGAGTTTATAATAAAAAATACATTACCCTTTGCCAAGAAGTGTGGGCGCTGCTGGTACATGAGGAACCTGCAGGTTGACTTGCAAAGGAAGCACCATTGAGTTTCCACTAGGGAAGGTCGTTGATATACCATTTAGTTGATTTCCAACTGAACCCACCATTCTCTCTGCTCCAGGATAGCCTTGCTGATACCCAAACGTCTGAGGGTTCAAATAAGAGGGTGTGAAAGTGTTAACCGAAAATTCACAACGAGAACTTTCCAGACATCAATAAAAGAAGATGGATCCATACATGCCCTGCATTCAGCCTCTTGTTATCCCAGTCATGAACAAGTTCCTCAGATGCTAATCGCTTTGTCCCAAGAGCTTCATTGTGAGAGGGAAGAAGAGGAGAACATACTAGTTCAGTTACACAATCAGATTACTGGACTAAAAGCAAACATGAGCAGGTAAAAAGAGTGAAACACAATTTTCTTCCCAAAAAGAGGTAGCAAAACGGAAAGGGAGAATGAAATAAGTTATGAGTACATTCAAAAATATTAGAGGCTCTAGCAACCAATATCTTGAGAATCATGACCCAAATTAGGATCTCAGGGGTAATTAATATCAGATTGCGGGATAGCATGATCCTAGTTTAAAGAATTAAAGAAAAAAGACAATGACCATTTATCTTAACTTGAATAACTCCTTCAGTTCAGTATGAATCTGTATTAAACCCCAACTATGAAAGACTAGCTTAAAATATACAGCAACTCACAACAAAAAACTCTGAGAGTTTTTAGAAATTTTCCTTTCTTTTCTTAACGAGTAAAAAAGTAGAAATTTTCAGACAAATAGAGAAAGAAAACTAAGGGCAATGACTAAGTGGCTTATTGATGAGGTATAGCATTTGTTATCTAAAAGGTGAAATATTGCTGGAATTTGTAAAGTAAAACTGGTAAATTGGGAAGGCCGTGAAGGTAGTAAGATTTGTAGGTTTTGTGATCCTTCTTGACATTGGATACCATTTTAAATGATTCCATATATCCTAAACAATTGATTCTTGCCATCTTTGAGCTCTAGTTCGACCTTACCACCTGGAAAAATTTGATGAACTCGAACTGTAGGATAGCATGATAACTGGGTAAGTCCAAGCACTTGACTACATTATGCAATCATTCCAAAGTTACCTAAAGATTAAGGAGTCATTTGGTTCGGAGATAAGTTATGCATGGATTAGTTATTGCAGGGATCACTATGCAGTGAATAGTTCCTTTTGAATGTTTGGTTGGTATAAGAATTAGTACACATTATATAATTTGAAAGAACAGTCAGAAACAGAGAGAATCTTCACGAAAAAGTAACCAGCAAATGAGAGAAATTCAGATTGCTGATGAAGTTATAATGGTTAAAGACAACCAATTGTGTTGAAGGATTATAGAAATTCACTTTGCTCACTTTTAGTTTACTTTGAGTTGTCAACAGTTAACATTGAACGAAGAAGTTTTCAAGATTCTTTAAAGTGTGATCAAGTCCATGCTAAAAAATTTGATGAGGGTAATATTGACATTTGATAGTTTAACCCATGTATTAGTTAATACACGTATTCTTATTCCATATTCTACCAAGCATAAAATAATGCATAGATTTCCTCATAATTTTATACGTTTATTATGTAGAAGAAAACACTACCCAAACATTGTATAAGCTATGCTGGATTTTATACCAAGATTAGTTTTTCTTAAAAGACCAACCAAACAACGTATAAATCTAGTTATACCCTGATTAATCCATCCAACCACCAAACCAAACGAGCCCTTGTAGTGGTATAGGGTACGTATTACCTAAGACCAGACGTTCTAATTGCCTAAATTCTATGGTATGAGAAAGAACCTTTGTCATCAAAACATATACACAAGTATTTCTTTTGATGATTAAGTAACAATTGAAAAAGAAGGCATCATTTGATATGTCAAACGATTAGAGGATTGGATGATGATTGAGTAATGATCAATTCAGAAAGGATTTCAGCAGAAGATAAGATACTTTTCACAAAAAGTATCTTTCATCCCATTATGTTACAACACAGGAATTTTTCTCTTTTAATAAAAGTTCAGTCCAGAACCTCACAGATTTTTCCATCAAAAGTAAAAAGTAAATTAAATTGGAAGCCCTTGCTCAATACATATTTTGAACATATAGGTTCCAAGGATTTGGTAGGAACTCAAAAGCAACCGGGGAAACTTAGCCAGCTACAAAGTCGAAATACTAAATAAGAGTTCTGCAAGGACAGTGACTGAAGCATTGTGGTTTTTTTTTTGTGAAAAGGTATAAGCCTTGTGATCTATACTCATTTAATGGAAGACCAAAAAAAAAGATTTTTGCTATGCAAACCTGTCATAGGGGTGCTGACAAGAGAAGATGATGAAGCTGGAGGTGCAGCAGCATTGCATTTTTTGCACTACAAGAGCAGATGTACATCCACATGAAACCGCCACAAAAAAGTGTCTTTTCATATATTGAAAGTACTGTATTCAATGTTCTGTTTGGTAATACCTGAGCTCGAGAAGAGTAGTTGTGAAAGCCACAACTGCAGAGCCAGTCGCCATTACGCCATCCATTTGGAACTGGAAGCA